TATATCCTTATACCATTCATCATTATTTGCTTTAATTTTTATCATAATTTTCTCATTATGTAGAGTTTACATATTATATTTTATTCTTTAAAAATGAATTTTTATTTAAAGCGATTTTATTAAAATATTTAAGCTTAAAAATTTAAAAATAGAGATGGAGGACACGTAATAATAAAATTTAAATAACATTATGTCAGAAAGAATAAGTAACATTTTAAATTTGTGAGGAAAAATGTTTAAAAATTGTTGGGGCTAAATAGAAATTTAAAGTATTTAAAAAGGAATTGAATTGACTTATTGGAAAACTTCTATTTGGCAAATAATTAAAAATTTTGTCTATTGAAATTGATCAAATTGTATTTGTGTAAAAAACAAAGTGTTTTAATTCGATAATTGAAATTTTGCAGATTTCTTATAAAGTAATTAATTTTTTTCCATATTTCCATTAGCTGTATGAAAAACGTTAGATTAGTTTCAAAGGCCACTTCGGTAAAAATTAAAAGATGACAGTAAATGCCTTTTTATACCCAAAAATATACCGTTATATTCTTTTTGAAATCATTACTTTGAATTTCATCCTAAACATATGCAATATAATATTTTAATTGAAAAATTATTTCTTTAGAACATAATTTTAGTTAAATAAGTTGAAATAAGAGTCTAAGATTGAAATTATTTAAAAAATTTGGTTTTTACAAATCATGGGGCTATTGAAGAACTTTATTAGCTGGAATTGCTGCAAAAATACAGGAAAAATCTCTTGAATTTTCGTAATTAATTTCACTATATAACAACTTATATATCGCATAGTCTACTTATATTATACATAATTAGATTGGATTTTTCAATTACCTAAATATACCTACTTTAAAACGGAAACAAATTAATATTCCTAATTATATTTAATATTAACCGTCATTCACTGGATTACCTACATTTTTTTCCTTTTTATTCATACAATTATAGTAATGTTATAACTAGTGTATGGTATAGTGAGAGTATAGATTAGCTGTATATAGAATTATAAGGTTATTATTAGCAAATGATTAACGGTATTGAGAATATCAAATATGTACATAGAAAATGATTTCTTTTTTCTTTTCGGTATGCGAAAGGCAATAATTTTAATTAAAAGATCTAAATTATAATGGAATTTTCAGTTATTATGGAAAACAAGAATTTTTCAATTAGAAAAATCAAATCAAAATATGAAAATATTGGTGATTAATTGGTTTTTCTCCAATTTTGACTGTTTTGCGCTTGGAGCTTTTATTGTTTGATTATTTATGTAAGGGTAAGATTATTTTACTATGGAAATTGGTTTGTAGCCAATAGTATATTTTGTTAGTGATATTGTTTAAAGTTCCACGAGTTATCAGTTATTGTACGTCTTACATGAAATTGTGCGTTTTATATAAGTGATTAAAAACTCTACGAAAAATTATGATTTTCTTAAAATAAAGAACTTATGCAGTGGAGTGGTTTCGCAAATTTTGTGGCTTCAATAATAATTATGGTTCCAGTAGTTTTTATGTTTAAAGTTCAGCCCTGATCCAAACCAATCTCGACTTTGACTCTGAATACGGCTCTGCCTCTGAAGTGAAGCTGAACCTAGCTTTTTCTGTTTTTGATTAGCTTATAATATTGACATATTCAAATGAAGATTTCAAACAAATAGAACATCAAATTCATAATAAAAGTGAATATTTTCTATGCTATGCCCTTCCTTCGAAAAGCCTCATAATTTCTATTATTACAGAGGAAAATTGTAACTCAATTTCGCCTTGTATTAACTACAAATTAACAATACTGATTACATTATTATTACTGAATAAATTCCAATTTTTTTACCTGGAAAATAATTGGTAGGTGTTTCTAAATATTTTGTTTCCCATGAAAGTTTAAAAAATTTTTCCGATAAGATTGTAACTAAATGGAATCAAATTAACTAATTATAAAACTAAAAAACTTCCTCAAAAAATTTTTCATTAGGAATTTTTTTTTAATGTAAAAAGTATCAGGTTTGTTGCTTTCTTTTCGTGTTTTGATTTTTATTTGAAAACTCCTCAACTTCAAGTACCTTACACAAGCCATCATATATAGGAATGTACGTTCTTGTATTTGTATATAAGTTCACATTTCAAGTACAATTATTATCATATTAATTTATCAAGGAACTTTCTAAAATATTAGCTTTTACATATAACCTACATAAATATAACATAATGTATGAGTCAGGGGTGAAAAAGCATTTTTTAAAGGGTTCGTATGTGGTACGAGCTTAGGTAACTTATATAACATACGGAAGATAGCTCAACTTTGAACGTGATGATTGAACTAAATTTTGTTGCGTACAATAAGGTTTTAAATTCTACAAGCATTTGCATTCTTCCATACGGCACAGAGGTGCTCTCTAGTAAGGAACGGTGCAACTTTAAATTCAGTAAGTAAAGGTGCATCTTGAAAATTTTTTTTATTTCATTGTAAACTGATATTATGACATTAATTTCGTTTTACTATTTTGTTTTACTTTTTACTAAGGAGAGTGCTACTACTCGCATCGAATAACTGCATAATTAGTTAGTAACTTAGACATTCGAAAATTACATATTTGGGATTTGTAAAAATGTGTGCTCCCGACTTCGTTGTATAGATTTTTCACACCTGTCCTTATAAAATTTTAAAAAATTGTTATGGCCAAAAATGTAAAGAATAGAAAAATTCAAAATAAAATAAAAAATGTAAAAATCCTTTTGCATATTAATTTTTTTAAATTCTTTTTTTTTTAATATGAAGAAGAAAAATTGCGGAATTCAATTCTAAAAATTGTTAGCATGTAAAAATGCAGTAAATATTGAAGAAAAAGATTGTAAAAAAGAAGAATATAAAAATTAAACAGAAAATTTTTAAATTTAAAGTACCTGCAAATTTTATATTTTATGCTCACCTAGTATGTAATAGGTACCTACACGTATAGTATCTTTACTCTCAAGTACATAGTTTAATACTCACATATGCACATACATATATATGTATTTTAATACGTGAAAAAAGAAATTCATTCATTAAATTTTAAGTAAAAAAAAATAGGAAAACATGAAAATATGTGAGTGAGACTTGCTTTAATATTGCTGTAGTCATATAGGGAAATTGTTGCTTTTCTCTCATATTTTGGTGTTGTACAAACTTTTTGAAGTTTTACTTAAATTATACAATCTGTGTTTAAATTACGTCTGTACTCGTACTTATTAAATGTTATTAAAAGCAATTTCTTCCTGATTCCTATCAGTTATTTTTTTTTGGCAATAAACGATGTCAATTCAATTTTTCAGATATATGATTGCGAAGCTTGGTGTAAATTGAACGCTAGGAAAAGTAATTAGATATATCTATAATTTGCGGAGCGGAGATCACGTCACGCCTTATATTTCACAGTTTTTCAAAAGACTCACCGTCCGAGTTATTTGTGCAACAATTTAAAATTTCCTTTTGGATCAGAAAGATGGCATGTCTTATTTTGCCGAGAAATAACTGCCTACTTACGAGTCGCCGACTTCTCACGCATTCAGTAAGACTCTGGAAAATCTTGCCTTCTTGCCAATCCGGGCTTCATTGTATTTCACTTCTTTGTTAGTGAAATGTTTAGTGCTTTGTTTAGATATTTCCAGTATTCGGTGTCTTTATTTTTCTTTCTCTATTAGTTTTGTTGATTGTGATTAATGTTAGTAGTTCAGTTTCGAATGGATTAAGGTGACAACTAGTGCTGCGTAGTGTAGATGAGATTGAGTTGTTACAAGTGAATGTAAAATTATTTTAAATATTTTTAATGCTGTCATATATTGAAATTATTGTTGAATTGCTGGTTGAAATTGCCGCTCCTAAAAATTTCAAATTCATCTATTGTTTGGTTTTTATTTTACTATTTTTTTTAAACAATTATTTTTGGATCAATCGGAGCCGATCGGATTTTAGGGTTATTCTTCTATACGCTTTCTTGAAAGTTTTACTTTAGAGTTCCTCCTAATTTTATGCAATACGGTTACAGTTTTCAGTAAGTTAATGATTTCACTATCATGTTTTGCCTCAATATTTTAAAGCCATTCATATATGTATCAGTTTCTTGACTTAAACTACTGCAAGAAAATTCTTGTCTTCAAATGATATTAAACTGCCGCCAGCTTTTTGTTTTAAAAATCACAAGAATATTGTCTGTAGCTTCCTATAATTAAAAAAATTATTTTAATCATGACTTTCATTAGTTCTGCCTTGCGTTTCCTTCTAAAAACGAACTGTAGGAGGATAAAATATAAAGATCGAGTAAGTACTAAAGATTTAAGAGTAGTAAGCCCTCTGTATAAAAGGATGTTGACTAGAGCAGTGTTCGATTTATTGTATATGAAATATTCAAATTCCATTCTTCAGAAGAAATTCCGGAAATCGATTACCTTCGAACAGTTTTCTCGCTAATGTCCTTAATTTGTAAACGATCCCTTCTATAGTGTAATTTAAATACGGTCTATATATTATTCCGTAAATCCTTAAAATAAAAAAAAAAATAAAAAAATTAAATTAAATGTTATAAAAAGTAACAAGTGCATATAAAAATTTTTTTTTTGTTCTGCTGCTTATTTTTTTTTTCATTCTAGAACAATAAAATAGCACTTGAATTCTGAAATTAATATTATGTAACACATACATATGCATATGCATGTACTATATTATATATCTATACGTATACTAACAATACTATATGAGTGTAAAAACATGTAGAATATTTAAAAAAAAAATTTAATAATTTGTTTCAACAATTTTTTAAAATATTTACAAGCATTTTTTTTTAAATAGGAAAGAATTTTGGTAATAATGATTCTATAATGATGGTAATTAACTATAATATAAACTGTTATTAATTCTTGAAAAATATTAAAACTGGCTTTTTCTTTTGCTAAATAAAATTACATTGGGTTTTATATATAAAATATCGATTATATAAGCGCGGTCTCTATACAATATCAAATTATATAAAGTGTTTTTATTTTTAAATAATTATAAAGAACAATTGTGCATATTAATAATATCATGATGTGAATCAATAATGAATAAAAAAAATTGTGAATTCTAAAATTAAACAGTATAAAAATATTATGGTAAAAAGAGTAAAAAAATTAAAGAATTAGAGAAAAAATAAAGAAAAACAATTAAATTTTATCACGGGAAAAATATATAATTAGTAATGATGAGTTGCCGTTTCATAAAAATTACATATAGTTTTCTAACTGTATATTTTAGTATATTATGTAATAATAATTTTATTAGAATATCATCAGCTGAAATTGCAGGTAATTGTATATTTATACATAAATATATAAATTATATTATTGCATGTTAAATAAAAATTAAATTTAAGAAAAATATAAAAATTTATTTTTCATTTTTATATTTTTTTTTCGGTTGTTGTCAGGAATAAATATTGTAAATTAGTATTAAAAAAGAAGGTATTATTAAAAAATTAAACATGTTGTGGGATGAAATTATTTGAAATTTTTTACATTTTTTTTAATACTATTTAAAATGAAGTTAAAAAATCGGTTCAAATAATTTGTTAAAATTTTTTCTTTAACATTTTTTATATACGTCTTAATTATAATTTAAAAAAAAATTTTATTTTTAAATTTTTTCTTTAGAAATTTTATGTAAATTTAACACGAATTATAAGGGTTTTATTTTTCGTTTTTTAATTAGGTATTGGTGTAATTATAGTTAACGCTAACTAATAAGATATTTGAATTAATGTGCTTGGGATAATAAATACACTAGGGTCTAATATAACACTTTATAACACGAAATAGTTTCTGTTTTCGAAAAAAAAAATTAATTTTAAATTTAACATCTATATGCATAAGATTAACTGTTATATTTAATATTTAACCGTTATATTTATTATTTTTTTTTAAAATTTTCAATATATTTTTTTTTAAGACGGTAAGTCTTTGAAATCTGAAACATTTAAACTTACTTGTTTTATATTTTTTTTTATTAAATTTTTTTTCAATATCATACATTTGTTGGAACTATTTTTAACCGGGAAATTTTTAAATGAGCCTATATCTACTGTGTACTAATTTTAATAAGTATTTTTTCTTTATAAATTTCGAACACACTCCTTATAAAATGAGGAATCTTACACGTGTAATTACCTGCCTTATACACATAATAGCTTAAACTCACACCATTCTACATATTATATTTAAATTTTATCTTTAAAATTATATCTTTAACTAAATTTTGACATGAATACAAAAAAGGATATTAAAGTCGTATATCACATAATAAAAAATAAAAAGGAACGAAAAATAATTCATATGTTATCCTAAATCCTATTCAGTTCAAACGAGCCCTAACAATGTACTTACGTTTTAACGTAAACAAAAAATAAACTTTTATGTTTGTTAACAATTTTCACGATAATAATAATAATAATAATAATAATAATAATAATAATAATATTTTTAACCTTAAACTTGTTTAAGTTCATTATTTAAACAGATTTACATGATTTAATTACCCCACATTTATTTATGTATATACACACTGTAAAAAATAGGGCAAAAATTTCTAAAATAGTTAATGATTTAATAGGAATACGTACCTCTTTATTAGAAACAGGTGCTCGAAATCTGCTCCTACGCTACCTCCCACAAGAAGTGACTTCTTATCTGCATCAAACCGACAGATCGATGACAGCCATAACAACTGGTAAGACAATATCACCTCTTCGCTATTTTAAATAAGAAGTCGTATTCCGTGAATGTATCAACCACAGTACAGAGAATTACAACCAGACCTCCCGTTTCTTTCTTTCTAATTTTTGGCCCTATGCCAAAGTTATCTCTCCTTTCTGTTTTGCCCTAGACTGACGTCTCTAAAACTGCTCCTATGGTGTTATCCTAAAAAGTGGTTTATACTCTCCATTAAACCCTCAGATGAAAGATAGCCATGATAGGCAACTAACCCGGCGAGGTAATACCCAGTCTGTTCGCCATTTTACCTAACAAGCATTGTCAAGGGAGTTATCAGTATTTCATGTATCCTTGCCTGGTCCTCAATTGAATCCATCTCAAATTCTCACTTTTCTCCTTTCTGTTAACTCATTTATCATGCTGTTCAACCCCGCCAATATTGAAAACTCTCGGTATAACCACGAAATTTATTCCTGGAAGATAGTTTTACATTTTTTCGGGGTATCGGGGACTATCCGATTGAGTAACTTCTTGCTGCAATAGATTTTTTTACTATTTTAGTACTACTGAAATAGTTTTTAATTGACTTATAAAAGAAATTTTATATGGACATTTTTAACAGTGTAATATATATAGCGATAAATGAACATGGTAACACCACAAAAATTCCTAAAAAAAAAAATCTAATTATGTGCGTGATTTTAAAATTTGCATTTTTATACACAAATGCAAAGCACCTACTTACATTTATTTTTATGTAATTAATTAATAGTGTAAAATGTTTTGAAATATTTTAATATTTCTAATGTGTACACCGGCAAAGAAAATTATTCAATTATTTTATAATATGGAAATTTATTAAGGTGTGAAAATGATGTAAATTTAACAAAAAAACAAAAATGGATAAGTTATTTTAAAAATATTTAGTTTTCATGTCATTATGAAAAAAAAAATAATAATAATGCTGATTAAAAAATAAATTAGAGAATAATTAAAATATTAGAAACGTTTTATAAAAATGTTGTTTGATAATTTTTTACACGATGATTAGTTGACATGTCACGTTAAATTATTAAAAATTATTGCTTTTAGAAAGGGTAATTAATTATTTTATTGTGATAAGATCATTTATAGTAACATGCTCTAAGGATTAAAAACAATTTTTTCATTAATTGATAAATTATTGAAAATAATAATAATCATTTTGTTATTAGGGGTGGCGAAGAACAACTTTTTAAAAAAATATTTTAATTATTTTTTAATGGGTGCTCAACAACTTATGTCAAATTAATTATAATTTCGTTAATTTTACCATAATAAAATAATGATCTATAATTATTGGAAATTTTTCAAATCTTTAATTGAAATTTGTAAAATATAATTTATATGATGATTCTTTAAAGGAGGTTTCTAGAATATAAATTTATAATTTCCATTTGTTTGCTTTTAAAAATTCGTGAGATGATAGTCAGAATATGCAGAGTTTTCCCTGGAATGATTTAAATAACTGTCGAGCGGTTTCTTTATAATTGCTTTGAACCGTATCGCAAACCTATAAAAATAAGTGGGTGATTTAGTGTAGATTTTAAGATTTTTGAGGAAACCGAGTTGGGTAATAGAACATCACCTCCGAGCCATTCGCAATTTATTGCAGCCCCGCCACGCTCTAACCTATAATATCCCTGTTTAAAGTACAAAATTGCTGACATCCTCTCCCAATACATTTGCGACACTCGACAGCCAGCTTGGTGTTAGTTTAAAATAAAAAAAATTCACACTCCACTGTTTATACCTCAATTTCCGTTTTTCTTAACTTTTTGGTTTGAGTCTTTGCTAAACATAAAACAGAGTTATCACAATCTTAATTCAATCCCATTATGTTTGCTTTATTTATACTTCAAATATTGTAAGTGAATTTTTATTGTAATTATAACTTTTCCTTTACGAGGAATACACTCAATTTAATGTGCACTTGTTGAAAATATTCATTGCAATAAATTGCCGTACTCTCTGAGCATTTATAATTATAAAAGAGTAATTAACAAATTTACCTCTTTGTTTTTATTTTGTGTGTTTCTTATAAAAATCAAATCATGTGCATATGTTACAAATTGTTCAGACTAACAATATATATAAAAATATATATGTATATTATTTATTCTTAGAAAAATCTATTGAAAAAAAACAGTTATTTTTGCCATAATAATATTCCTTTTGTAAACTCTAGTCTGTTAAGTTGCTCAGGCCTTTTTACTCATATACAGATTGCACTTTTTTATTTTCGTCTATTTGTTGTTTTTGTTATATTGCTGCTATTGTTTTTTTTTTGTCTCATTTCAATTAAAGAATTGTTGGTTTGTCGGCTGACTTGTTATAAAAAGCAGAAATAAAAAAAAGTGCAAAAAATGAAAGTAAAAATCAAAAACAGAAAAGGATTTTTACAAAGAGTCTTTTTTCTCTTTCTTTTTTTGCTCAATGGCTCTTTAAACTTTTTGTAGTGGTTACTGTTGTTTTTTTTTTATATTTATTTTTGAACTTTAATTTTTTATATTTGAAAATATTTTTTTCTCCTTTCATTTTCAAAATTAAAATAATACAAAAAAGCAGCAAAGCTACAACGTAAAATGAACGAATAAAAGTGATGAACCTACGAAATCAAAACAGAAAGGAAATAAAATTGAAGTAAAAATTAACATAAAAAGTAGAACTTATAAAAGAAAGTTAAATGTAATAACGAGTAATAACCGTTATATAAATGTTAAAATAAACAGACGCCAAATTTTGTTTTTTTTTTTTTCAACAGACATAAAAAAATTTGTCAACAATTTCAAATTCAATTCAATTTGTTAAGGTTTTGAATCGGTTAAAACGAAGAAATTTCAAAGAAATTTAAAAAAAAGTGTTATTCAGGGTATAAAGAAGTTTTCAGGTAGAGCATCTGTTAAGTAATTAAGTAATACTTAACAGATCAAGAATGTTGCTATTGATAAAAAACAACAAGTTTTCAAATTTCCAAAGCAGGAAAAAAAGTATAATCAGTCACCTGAGCATAGGCTTTCTTGTTTCTCGGGGATTATAGCATCTTCTTAAGCTGCAGGTTCAAATGAATTTTAAATAAATAAACGTAAATTTCCTAGTTCGGGGCCCCTTTGAAAAATTGAAATAATTGCTACAACGCCAATATTACTTAGCACCAGGATTTCATAAACTACTAAACTCAAAGTTTCAATTCTAATGAAACCTAACAATACTTCTAATATTTACTCATTATCTTATTTTATTTATCTGCTATACATTAAGTTTGTTGAATTTTTCCCTCAAATCTTATTCTATGTAACATAATTAAAAATAATTTTTAAGCAAATCCTTACTGATAAAATAACCATTATTGCTATTTAAGCGACTATTAAAACCAAATCGCCCTAATAATGATTAAAATTTAAGTATTTCAGTTTTCTTTTTGCTTCCTCATTTTCTGCTTCATTAGAATTTAAATAAAAAACTCAAATTAGAAATTATTGTTCCTACTATAATGACTTTTTGGTTCTATTTTTTGTCCTTAAAATAGTAGTAATTTTCAGGTCTTTTTTTATCAATTCTTTTATTTTAGTTTATTTAAAAAAAAATGTAAGCAACTGAGAATTATTTTTATTTTTTTGATTTCGAGATAAATGTTCAATTAAGTCTTCAAAATAGAAACATTATTATTTTAGTTGCTCTATGAAATTTGTCAAAGTTTTTAAGTTGCTTTTGCCAATTATGAAGTATTTTTAGTAAAAACTGCAAAATTAATTTAGTTTGTGAGGTGTTTCTAAGGCCGCCTAACGTAAACTGTCAACACTTCCAGCTGCGTTTTATTATATAAAGGAATATGTTGATTAGTAGTTACGATTTTATTCCAATAGAAGGCTTGTGAAACACGGCGATGAAACACCGAAATATATTCTTGAAATGAGGAAAACAATATCACAAGGAATTTGGTTACACACATATTGATTAATTTATAATAAAGTTCGAATAAGCGTACAAACGTAAGCATACTGAATAAAAATGTAAATATTTGACAATAAAGTCAAAGAAATTTTTATTTTTCTATTGCTTAATTGCAATTTAGTAGGAAGAAAAGAACTTTGAAAAGTAAAATAGTGTTGTTTCTTTTCTCTTATTAATATTTATGTTGTGTGAATTGTCGTAATAAAATTTTATTTTTTTTTTTAAATTTCAGCGGATCCAAAATTTAGTGAACCAATAGCAAATGTAACAGTTGCTGTTGGACGTGAAGCAGTTTTAACATGTCTTGTGCAAGATTTAGGATCATTTAAGGTAATTTTGTTTGTTATTTCAGTCACAATATAATAATTTCTGCATTTCTGTCTCTTTGTTCCCTGAATGTTTTCTACTCGTTTCTTATAAACTGAATACAAAAATTAAAATAATTAAATAATTTTTATATTATTATTTATTGAAATTTTAATATTTAAAACAAATTACATATTTAAAATTTTTAATTTATGAGAGTAGCTATATGAAAAAATATTCAAATTAAAATATTAAGTTCAAAATTAGAATTAATTGATCATAATGTAGGCGTAAATTATTTGTAGTCTGTCATCAATGAAATTTATTGTTTTTTTTTTAATAATTAAAATTTATGTCATGTTGATGTGACTGCAATTGAATATAATCGAATTTTCCATTTTAATAATATAATGAGAATATTTAAGAGATTTTGTAAAATAAAATATTATTAAACTCACGATAATTATGATATAAGCTATTTACAAAAAAAACGTGTATTTATAATAATTTAAAATTGCATAAAACTTAAATGAATTGAACAGTTTTGTTGTATTTATTTAATTAAAATTGAAAATCAATTAAAAATAATGTTGTCTTCTGAATAATATTCTGTATTATATGACATTTTTTAAAGTGGTCGAAAATCCAATATGAAATTTTAACTCTTCAGAAATAATCAATGGTAGTTTGGTACATCTGAATAGTTAACCAACATATTCTTTTAGATTTCGCTATAAGAAATAATATTCAAAAAAATTAACACATATTGTGTGTACATTAAACATACCAAGGTGAAGGGGATCGTATGTTCATTTCATGTCAATATTTGGAAAATTTGAAGATTTGAAAAGTTACTCTTTCGATTTCAATGAAACTTCTACTAATTCCTACTTTAGTTATATCCCTACCAATTCCTATCAATTATTGATCTTTTATTAATAAAATAATAATCATTAAAAACGTTCGATTTTAATGAAATTCCTACTTATTCCTACTTAATTCATATTCCTACCTATTCCTACGAATTGTTGAGTTTTTAAAATATTAAATAATAATCATTAAAAACGTTCGATTTTACTGAAACTTCTACTAATTTCTTCTTCAATGAAATTCCTACCAATTCCTACTAAATATAGGCGTTTGAGTATGAATATTAAAATCGTGAATTCAGTGAAACCATTTCCTAACTTCAATATTGCCTCTCAATTTCTGGTATCAGCTTGAAAAATGTGTTAATTTTTTTTATTGAATATTAAAATTTCAAAGAATATTTTAAAACTTGAATTTGGTAAAAACATTTTAAAGTTCTGACATTTCCTTCTGTAATAAATACATACGTTTGTTCATATTTATAACAAATATACTATAAAAACATACACACAAACTGATATAAAAATAAACATTACAAATGTCATTTTGTTTTACCCTAACAGTAAAATAGATCTTGGTTATAAAAACATATTATTATGATTTTTGACAATCTCATCAAAATATAGTATTATAAGTGGATAGAGATTTGCTACATCTGTAAAGTTTAATATACTAACATAGATAAAATATGTTATCGAGAAGTATTTCTTCTAAAAATGTAATTAATAATTTTTTTTCAAAAATATCTTTAACCTTTGGTTTTCGAAATTTGTCAATTTGTAAAAATATTCATAACATAACGATAAAGTTAATATTTTTATAGTAGAATATTATTTGTAATAAAATTTTTTTGTTATATTGCATACTTTTAGGTAGCATGGTTACGAGTTGATACCCAAACAATATTAACAATACAAAATCATGTTATAACGAAAAATCATCGTGTCGGTATAACATATTCAGAGCATAAAATATGGCAACTAAGGATAAAGGATATAAGAGAATCAGATAAAGGATGGTATATGTGTCAAATAAATACAGATCCAATGAAAAGTCAAACAGGATATTTGGATGTCGTAGGTACTTGTGTAAAATATGACAAAAAAAAGAGAATTTCTCTTTATTTTTTCGTTTGTTTTTTTATACTTAAAATTCAGTGATTTCTAATGATAATAGTTTTGATATCATTGAAAGTATTTTGACATAAATGTGTCATAATGTTAATATGTGCATATAATATGGATATTTATAAGTAATTATGCATACACCAACATACAAACATAACATTTTACATAAATAAAATATGAAAATTTAAATAATGCAGTGTAATATTTAAAATTTTCTATAATTGGTTAAAGTATTTTTTGGGGTTTTTTTTTGTTTATAATAACACAAGTGTATATACATGCATAGAAATATATATAATTAATGTGTCCTAAATGTTCGAATTTTATATAGGAAGATGGGATTAAAAATAAATTTTATTTTATATTATAAATAAGATTATCAAATATTTTATAAATTTAAAATTGAAATTAGGTTAAATGTACTCGTACCTACCTGATAGAAATGTGTGTTTAAGAAATATTGACTGTATGTACGTTGCATTTATGATAATAATCAAAAAGTAGTTTTGCTAATAATTACTTTTCAAATTTCTTTTTTAATATTTTTAATAATAATTAAATTTACAAATCCAATTTAAAAAAAAATTCTGAATTAGTTATTATTAAGGGTATTGTGATTTCGAAAATTCGGTAATCTTACTAGGAAATCTTACTACTTTTTGTCTTACCAGAAAATTTTGGAAAATTATTTGAATAATATGTACAACAATATAGCCAGAGAAGCTGGCTTCAAATAAATGCAGAACAAAACAACGCCCGATTACTCCATAGAAAAATTGATATTTTCTCCGACAAGAATCATAGCAAATTAGACCGATACACAGTAAGAAAGGCAGTATACTCATATCAACCTAAGAACAATTGAACAGATAGAGAGTACACTTTGTGGAAACCAACACACCTACACAAGTTGCTGAATTTTAAGACTAAGAACTAAATATTAGGCATGACACTATAATAGTAGCACATATTCATTTCATGAATATTTGCTGAATTTGAAGACTAAGAACTAAATATTAGGCATGACACTATAATCGAAAGAGGGTACCAAAAATTGGAGAAATAGTGACCGCAATTTTAAAAGTAAAAATTCAATGAAACAGGAGGACTATAGACGGTATTGCCAATGCACTTAAAACAATAATAGAGAAAATATGGCAGAACGAAGAAATCTCTAAAGACTGAGAAAAAAGATTAATAATCAAGCTACCCAAAAGAGGTGACCTATCGGAATATCGTAATTGGAGAGGCATAGTGATGCTTAATAATGTGACCAAAATAATAACATCAATAATACACGACGGTATAGAAGTAAAGTTGGACAAAAAGCTTAACTGTTTAATCCAAAACTGTTTTGATTCGAAATTCGCGTTAACTATATGAAAATACTCCAAAAACAATATCGATTTTAAAAAAATCATTTCTCACTCTTGCGTCTTTATTTACTGCGAACTCAGAAAAGAGGGTATGTAGAATATAGTTTTAATGGCTCCATCATTTGGATTAAATTTGTTTTTTTTATTTGAAATTGCAAGTTCAATTGCTGTAAAAAAATTTTGTTTTTATTTTACTTTTTAATCTTGATTCCGTGACGGTCTCAATTACAATGAATACATATTTCTTTAATGACATATTTGAAACCATTCATAAAAAGTTTATATTTTATATTTTTTTTTGTGGTAGAAATTTAAAATAATTTAAACGTGTATATTGTGTAATACTCGCATCAATTATGCAATCGTTTTAGTAATTTATTTCGATTTAACAATTCAAAATGAACTTTTTTTAAAAGTTTTATGATGGTGTTATTACTGTTATTTTAAAGGTGGTCATATACCTATAATAATATAGAGAATAATTTTCTATTCTACGGGTTTTTGTTTAATGATTTTATTATTTAATTAAATGAAATTTATTTTGCTTTTGTTATATACTAAAATTATACAAATGATTTGTGGGTACTTGAACTTTCTTTTTTTTTTTTCTTTATATAAAATTTAATAGAAATATTTAGTGATTCATATTTTGAATTTGAAAAAATGAATTTGTTTTATGAACACATTTTCTATTTAAAAAAGATTTTTATTAGTTTTAAATTTCTTAGAACAATTTCGGAATTATTGTTCTTGCATTTATAATAATTTGTAACATTATTCTGGTTTAAAAACTGATTTGAATGGAATGAGTCTTAAATTATATAACACGAGTGAATTAAATTCGTACAGGATCATTAAATTCGTACGGAATCGTTAAATACGAACAGATTTCTTTGACAACGAATTGGTTGAACCCGCTAATATAAAGATCGTAATGGTCTGATAAATTTACTACCGAATTCATGAGTTCGTATTTTATATAAAAATACAAAGCACTCTCATTTCATATTATGAATGTGGTTCAAAAGTTTTTTTGTTTAAATTTGTGTTGAACACTTTCATTTTTAACAATAGAATTTTTGAAAAATACCTTAATTATAGGCTCAAATCAGCTGCGGATGCTTTATTACTATGACAGGTTTGACCCTATTAAAATTCATGTTCAATAGAATTTTAAGAGAAATTAAAATAATTCTATTCGTTGTTGAACAAAAATTGCCGATTTGCGTGCTATTTTTTATAACAATGGCAATATATTTAGAAAACAAGTTCATGAAATGCTTCTCTCTTGAAATTATTTAAAATTTTCCAAATTTATTTAGAATACTTACAACCTTGTTATCATGCAGTAGTGACTCATAGTTATTTTAAACCTTTACCGTTTTGATTTTCTTTCAATTTCTTTTTGCTATAAAAATTTACTCCGCGAACTTACAAAAGGTTGAGGTTTTTTAAACTCCATTACGCTTTCAATATATTTTAATTGTATTCTTTAATATTCTAGTTCGAAGTTCAAAGGATTAAATTCATGAAATAATTTTTGATTTTCGCCTTCTTCTTTTGTTGCAATTTCTTTCTAAATTATTTATTATGCTTCCGTTTATTGGTATGCATGCATATATGAAAGTATAGTTTTCATAAATGTGTTATTGGCACTAAAAAGGAATATAAAATTAAAAAGGGAATCATTAAAAAGGAACGAATGAATTTAATACCGTTAATAGGAGTACTAATATAGTGTTTTTTTTATTTTTAATTTTAACTAAAAAAATGGTTTATTAATAAAGATGGTAAAAGGTAGATTTTCCTTTTGTTTTGTAAAGTTACAGTTATTTAAAGGAGGAAAAATTGTTTTCATTGTTTTTCTTTGTTGTGAAGAAAATGAACGTTTTTGCATTATGTTTTTTTCTTCGCCTATATTTTGCGGAAAAATTTCGTGACTTAAAAACATTTAGACTATATTGTAAAAACCTTAAAAAAAATTATTTTGACTAAAGTTAAGATTCGTTTTTGATTTATATATTAAAATAAATGTATGGATGAAAAAGTGTGTATGGTTTGGAAAGGGGTTTCCACTTTCGCCAAAACTTTGTAATTGCGTTTTATTTGTCAGATCTGTCAAGATTAGTAGTTCAAAATGATTCCTCTTTTTATTATCATATTTATTGATGGATTCTGTGAGTTTCTGGTAATCACAAAAACCACTTAGAATCGCTCTATCGTTTCTAGTTTAGCCAAAAAACGTGTTTAAAGTTTTTTAAAAGATTTTTTAAAAATCTCCAAAAATATTTTTGCTACACCTTATTATCATATATTGGCACATATTGGCGGATTCTGTGGGTTCCTGGTCATAACGAAGAACACTTAGAATCGCTCTATCTCGTCTAGTTTAGACAGAAAGCGGTTTTAATTAAAACAATATAATGATAAAACTATTTTAAATTGAAAATTTCTTCATAAAGGCATACATAATTCATATGTTCAAGGGATGTTACACTGACATAATTCATAATGATCAATTTTTTGATAATAATCGCCTGTTTTATATACTTGATAATACGTTAAAGGGTTTCTTTGTTTGCCGTTATATTTTAAATAACAATAATCCAAAGTCTTTTACATAATATTCTTGCTCTTTTCTTAAACAAAACAATGAAAAACTTGTAAAACAATTTTAATTAAATTTTAGAAACAATGAATTAAATTTGGGTTAGTTCTTTTTTATATAATTAAAACTTAATATGATGGCAATACATAATTGTTTACACATATTCATACTGTTTGGTAGATTTAATAGAAAAACGGTAAAATATTAAAAGGAGCATACCTTAGTAAGTTCTAAAGTATTGTTCTTCTAAAAAATTATCAAATAAATAAAGTAAAGTATTCCTTTTTTAATTTTTCATTCATAATTACCGTTGTTAGGTAGTCCGGTAAATAATTCATTCGTGGTTTAAACTTTTAGCTCGCATATGTAGCCGTTCCGTTTCATCAACAAATTTTTGGTTGAATTCGGCTGTTTCATACGTTTTCTAAGAATAAATATAATTGCCATTATTCAGGAGAGTTATGAATATTTCTGTTAGTCGAAAACTTAGCATCGTGTGGGGAAGACACCCGATCGACTTCGACTAATGCTTGATTGTGATATTATCCTCAGATTGTGTGAAATAATTTTCCCAAAAACAAAACTCTTTTTATGTGCTTTAAGGATATCCGAATAGGAATTGTAATTTAGGTAGTTCTCCCCATGGATAAAATTTTTACCTCATGAAATCAGATATAAATGAGCGTAATTTAAAGCAAGGGATGTAGTTTTGACCCAAATTGCAAAATTTCATCATTAAATAAATAGGAATAGTCACTGAAAATAAATGAAATCTTCATCGGCTAATAGAATACTAAAGTAGTAACTGGTTAACTTAACCGATGCCATACTCAACACTTAATCAGTCTTATAGTTGACAGCCTAACTGCCTAATTATATATAAATGGTTACGTATATTCATCTCTTTTCCTTTGTTTTATTTTTTTACTTTTTTAGTTTTTGTTGAAAAGTTTTTTCATAATAAAATAT